AATTACGATGAAAAAAAATATCAAAGTTTACAGTGCTTGGAAACATACCGTGTGGACATTGTTGGGGAAATTTTCGTCAGCCTCAAAGGTGGTCTAACCAGTGCGTTGGCAATTGCATTGTCGTCTTCTCGCAGTTTCTTGTCTCGTTTGAATCTGATTACATGCTTTTCTGACTTTGACACAACGTTTGTAGAACTCACTACCTTCAATTTTTGATCTGAAAGTGAGTACCTGTTTCGATAATGGCACATCATTAATCCAAGTATCATTAAAATCATTGTGAGTGAGAGGGCGAAGACAGAGAGCACATATGCAAGTGGTGGTATGGAATGATGTATTATCGCCGTTGAAGCTGTCTAAAATACATTGGACGAATCTTTGCGTTGAACGAAAGGCTCATCTGCCGTACAAACCTGCGATGTTTTCATAATAGGCACGTGAGGTCCCATGCTCGAACGATGTTTGTCAGCAACCGCTATAACTCTTTCAGCCGGAGCGATCTCAGAAGTTGTGCGATTCACCAGCACCTGTGAAGTTATTAGTTGAAGAACTACATGAAAGCAGCATACAAAAACGTGTGCATATGAACTTTCTGCTCAGGAGGTAGCAGGATATGATGAATTAGAGAGCGAACGCCTAATAAGTTGTTTTACACGAGCCATAATAAATCGATTGAAGGAATTCCACCCCCAGCCTTTGCTTTTTTCACACTCAGCCAGAGTCTTTCATGACATGCTTATGCATCAGATTTAACCATTTCAGAATCTCTATGCATTCCTTCAAATGGACCATTTGTTGAAAGCTGGTAGCCGGAAAACGGAGGAGTGGGCGAAATTCCGCTTTTTACAACTTTTACAAAACTTTTACAAGGGTGCTAGAGAGCAATTTTAAGTTCAAAGGAGCTCTCGGTATAGGGTTTTCAGGCAAGGAATATGGAGGTAGCAGAGTTTGAATTCTCATGATTAGCTTTGAGTGGACACAACCGTGCGCAGTGGATTCGATGAAATATCAATGTTGGTAGCGGTTCCGATGATATTTCAAAAAATCACGAATCATAGTGTAATGAAAACAGCAGTTATAATTATGCAGTACGCCCTGTCTCTAAAAGGACAGCTTTGTCCCAAAATTATTGGCGCCAAAATTCAGAAATCTCTAAGGTAGAAAGAATTTATCAGATCCACGTTACCTGTTAATAATTAGTTGCATAAAAAGGTCTTCTGCAGTAAGCATGGTTACTGATGTGGAACTCCCAATATCTTCCAGATGGAGGAGGCTTATTTAATGCCACTTGCAATCATTGACACGCGAGAGGTCGAAGGGCATTATAAATTTCCTTGATATTATTATAATAACCGTATAGGATGCTATTAAACGATATAGAAAAGAGGATTGAATTAGAGACAAACCAGAAAAGGTAGAAAGGTAGAATGTTCCTGAAGATAGGACTATTAAAATGGTCCGTCCGCCAGTCGGTCGGGATCCAGGGTGACCCGTAAAAAGGAAGTCAACGGGCACGGCTTACAGGAGTATCGCGATGGAAGAATGTCATGCAGAAGCCTCACTACCATTCCTTCGTATGCTTCAACTCCGATCTCAACAGACACAGCAGGGCCAAAAAAAGCATAATGTCGCAGACCCACTTGAGTGATGACACGCATCCCTCCGTCGTTTTATTTGGCCAAAAAATTTTTCTCCACCCCTCAACAACTAAAACGTTCGCGCTTCGGAAAGAAAGATCCCGCGTGTAATATCTCACAAAAAGGTTGCTATAAGAACTGTGAAACTCTGTCTTTCGAGGAAATCACTGAAAAGAGTATGCCGCTCGTGGTTTCTTCGGTGCAGGCGTGAAAATTGACCAAGACCAGTGCTTAAAGAGCGTACTGGTGGACGTGATCCGCCTACGTTATCTGAAACATCTCGTAGTCTTTCCAGTAGGACGCTACTGCAGCCCACAGAGCCAGGTTTGCACACGAGTGGTGCCGACGACAGCGTCCGACTTTATTGGTGAAAAGGAATGGTCATCCTGGTTTCCTAGAATGCAAAGGCTATAGAACGGCTGAGAAGAAATGGAGAAGGATACGTGCGGGCCACACGGGATCAAGTCGAGAGCGAACTTTGACTTCAATCCGCGCTCATGGGTGATATTTTGAAATGCGACTGTAGCATGTTGTAGCACATAATGTTAGCTAGCGTGCATAGAAACTCCATCGTCTTTCGCAGCTGAGAAGTTTTGCATATATTGCTATAGATCGGCGCCAATAATTTTGGGGCACCCTGCTCATGGTTGTTTCACAAATCAAACGCAATAATGGAGCTTGAAAGCTTCAAGCTTTTTATGGAATTCATTTCCAATTTGCTCTCGTTATAGAAAATATTGGGTTCAAAAGTTTCACTTGATATTAAATATGCTTAAAAATCAAAAAGTTTCCTTTACTGTGATTGAAGATTGCACGAAAGAGATGGAAATTTTTGGCGATATTGTATGATTTTCCCGTAAAAAGAGCCGCCTCGAAAGTAAAAAGCTATAAGAATCCGTTCAAACCAATATATAACGAAAGCGTTCTGTGCAATTCAAGCAAAAGGCTCGTACAATGCAAGAGCTTTGCTCCACAAAGTCGCCTCTCTCACATAAACCATATACCATAGGAAGGCAGGGATAGGCGAGAGCATAAGAGTGTAGGCTAATGTCTCACTTAGAAAGAGGGTGAGCTCGATCCCTGACGAGGCAAAATTCATGCCCTGCGAAAAAAAAGTTTACGGTACCAGAGTCAGGCCCAGGTTGAAAGGATCACTGATGGAGAAGCCCAGTCACAACAACCATGTCAAAAGTCCCAAAAGAAAGTCATAAAGCTAGGACGTCACCCGGAAGTGGCGCACAGGACCCCCGTCCGAGTCTTGTGGACAGTATGCGGAGGCTACTGAGGAGTGATCGATCTCAGTCAAAGAAGCTAGTTCGAGTTAAGACTATGAGCGTGGCTTTGCTCACTGGGAATTCCCGACAGGTCGCTGATATAAAAGCATTCAACATTCGAGCCCTCTGCCTTCAGGAGACCACTAGAAAGGAGCGAAGGCTAGAGAAATCGGAAAGGGTGTCAAGCCCTAATACAATGAGGACGACACCTTTCGAAATGGTGTCTCCATAGCCGTGGCGGAATCCTTCAACGAGTCTGTCACTGCCGTCAACAGGATCAGCAGTCTAATATAGTCGTGAGGATGGACACGAACGGTTGGTACTGGACAATAATATCAGTGTAGGCACCACAAGTGCGAAAAGTGCGTTCTCTCTGAACCTCGACAATGCCATTAGATCGGTTCCGGAAAGGTCTCCAAAAGAACACGATGGCAGTGATAGGGTAAATAGAAATAAGGGAGTAGGAGTTGAAAACGAGCAAGGAGAAGGGTCTTCTTCTGGCCTTAGCGCGTGACTTGGCAGCCTGCAGCACCTTCTTCGCGAAGAGGAAAACTTGGAAGACAACCTACAGCAGTGGAGAAGAAGGAACGAAAATAAATCATGTGCTCATAAGAAGATCATCTCTCGAAACAGTAGTGGACATCAAAGTACTGCCTGGCGAAGAGTTAGCTAGGCAGTACTTTGACTTCTTCTAGCAGATATAGCCATAGAGCTTTCCAAGAAATCAAGGACAAGAACGAGGATTTTATGGTTAAGGCGGCGAAAAGCTGAAAAAGAGGAACTCAAACGAAAGATGCTGGAAGTCGGTCAGAGATCCCGAAGGACGTATCCAGCAGAGTGAGCAAGGCTGTAAAACTCATCCCACAGTATGCGAGGGAAACGCTGGGAGAGACTCGATGAGGATTCTTAGAGGATAAAGAAGCATGGTTCTAGAACGATGACGCCCAGCAAGTCGTAATGCAGAAGAAAGCGATGTCGGAAGACGCGAGCTCTAGAATACCTAGTTGCCTACAGAACTTCCAAGAAGCCAGCCAAGGCTGCCGTAGCGGAAGCAAAGAATACGGAACTAAACGCTTTGTGGGAGAAACTCGGTGGTTGAAAAAATTCGTTTTCTGACCTGCAAAAGCGCGGCATCGGGCTACTCAAAACATCAAGGTGGTGAAGTCCGTCAAGAACACGGAGGGGCGATCCTGAGGAACCATAGGGAGGTCAGGCATAGAAGTGGAGACAATGCTTCGACAGGCTCGTTAATGAGAAGTTCCATCGTGAGGACAGCCCCCAAATAGAGGTAACGGCTGGCCCCATCGAACTCTGAACATGGGAGGAAGTGCGTAGAATAATAGGGAAATTCAAGCAAAAGAGGGACGCGATGGACAGTTCCAACTACAGGGGTATCATGCTGATTGCCACTTAATGAAATTGTACAACCGGTTAGTCGATTCAAGGTTGAGGGAGCTCGTCCAGATCTCACGGGAGTGGTTAGTAGGAGGCTTCATGTCAGAAGGTCGTACAACGGATGCTATTTTCATAGCCAGACAAGTAATGGAGGAGGATAGAGAAAAGACCTTGCTACCTGGCCTCCCTCGATTTGGAGAATGCCTTCAATCGCCTCCTGCAACAGACCCTCTAGAGAGCGCTCTAAGAGCGAAACGTTCGAGATCTTCTGTCCCCCTAGTCGAAAACATGTACGATAGGTCCACCACAACAGAATGCACTTCACACGGCCTGACCGAAGCAGTGGACATCACGGTTGGAGTACACCAGGGATCAGCTCTGAGCCCGTTCGTCTTCCTATTCACACTGGATGCATCACAAGCGTGCTCCTGGACGGACCACTGAAGACCATCCACTGCGCTGACGACATCGCTCTGACAGCAGAGAGCAAAGAAAAACTCCAGGAAAAGCTGCAGAAATGGCATTAAGTGCTGCCGAATATTGGGCTCCGGCAGAACGTGAAGAAGACCATGTTCCTCAGCTCCAAAGAGCACATGGAGTCAATAATCCTCTCTTCTGAAGGTCCTGGAGCAGAGCGTGCAGTGAGTGCTGACCCGTAGGTGGGAATCATGAGAGGCAGCTTTACTCCGCTGAGATGAGGATGCTCAGGTGGGCCTGCTGGACGCGACTGGTCCGTATCATAAACGAGGATGTCAGAGCGGTCATAGAAGTTGCCCCTGCACAAGCAAAGATGAGAGAACAGCACTTACGATGTTACGGACACGTAATGAGAAGACCACTGAATCATCCAACAAGGGATACAATGGAGTTTGAGGCTAAAGTGAAGCGACCACGAGGAGCCCCAAAGAAGAAGTGGCGGGACGTGATTAAGAAGGTCCTCACCGAAGCTAAAGTAACGGCAGAAGATGCCGTGGATAGAAGGAAGTGGGGACGATTGACAAGAATAGCAGACCCTGCGACTGCGCGAGATTAACGCTAGGAGGAAGAAGAAGAAAGCTTACACAACAGCAATGGCACATTAAAGCTCTTTATAACTTTGTCCAGGTAATCGTTCGGCAGATACGATGAGCAGATTTGTGATCTGTATTCGAACAATACTATGACTGTATGTTTAATCCTCATTTCGAATGGCCACTCGTCATAGGATCTTTTCCTTGTTTGATTGGGGTTGGAAAGCCCCAGAGCTTAATTACCCTCTCTGCGAATAACGCTATCGTTGCAGTCGCCATCGCCGACCGGGGTCAAGTTTTGAGCTCAGGAATCATTAATAACTTCGGGTTGCCTGGTTTTAGACGAACAGCAAAGGGAGGTATCTGCCAGCTGGTGTTTAGTTATATCATGATAGAGTTGCTTGGGGATCACCACAACTTCGTCACGCTTTTCTGCAGAATCGTGCTTTCTCCTGTGAGATGTTAGAGAGCGTGCTTTGCTTTTGGGATCTACAGAGCACTCGGAAACTCTGTTGACGAGCATCCTGGAATTGGAATCGGAGTCCATGTGTGGTTCATGTTGTTGGGAATATGGATGTTGGGAAGAGAATGTTGGCTGCCACCACGAGACCTTTGAGTTCGTGTAGGCTGCACATTATCTTTTTCAAGAAAACTATATAATTGGGGTGCATGGATGAGTAACTTGGGCCCAATCCCAAAATTGAAAGAACCTAGCCAGATAGAGGAAGCTTTCAGACGCGGCGACTCGAAATTTGGACGGCTTACCCCCCCC